TGACTTGCTTTATTTGACCAAAACCCTCGGCGCCGGTTCCCGTAAGGGCGGCGCCAATCTTGGTGAATCAGAATAACTTTTGCGAGCGAACGACCCTCCCGTAACCGGGTTGGGTCGGCGCCGCGTCCTGCAGGCGTCTGCCTTATCAGCTCTCGATTGTAGGTTAAACGCCTACAATGGCTATCACGAGGAATCAGGGTTCGATTCCGGAGAGGGAGCCTGAGAAACGGCTACCACATCTAAGGAAGGCAGCAGGTGCGCAAATTACCCACTCCGGGCACAGGGAGGTAGTGACGAAAAATACTGTTGCGAGCCCCGAACGGGGCCTCGCAATTGGAATGAGTACATTTTAAATCCTTGTACGAGGATCGAGTGGAGGGCAAATCTGGTGCCAGCCGCCGCGGTAATTGCAGCTCCACAAGCGTATATTAAAGTTGTTGCGGTTGAAACGCTCGTAGTTTGACTTCTGCTCCGGACGGCGGTCACGCCTTAGCGGCGGCTACTGCCGTTTTTGAGCTGTGTCTCGCCGGCGCACGTTGGGTTTTATGCCCTTAACCGGGTGTCCCCTTGTGGCCGGCACGTTTACTTTGAAAAAATTAGAGTGCTCAGAGCAGGCTGGTTTTTGCTTACAGCCCGAATGGTCGTGCATGGAATGATGGAACAGGACCTCGGTTCTATTTTGTCGGTTTTTCGGAACCCGAGGTAATGATTAATAGAAGCAGACGGGGGCATTCGTACTGCGACGCTAGAGGTGAAATTCTTAGACCGTCGCATGACGACCTACTGCGAAAGCATCTGCCAAGGATGTTTTCATTGATCAAGAACGAAAGTTAGAGGTTCGAAGGCGATCAGATACGCCTAGTTTCTAACCTTAAACGATGCTGACTAGCGATCCGCCGCAGTTATTCCCATGACCCTGAAAAGGATGATTTTGATAAATTGCTTAAAACGACATTCATTTTGATATTTCATTGGATCACTTTCTATGAGGTCATCAAATCTTCACTGAAGAGTTTTCATTTTTTTTTCCTACAAGATATTTCTACTAGAGGTAAGGCCAACAATATGACTGGATTTGCAGTACTGAAATCTGATTCTCAATAAAAGATGAAAGTTTCATGGACATAAATGTACACATATAATAGTTATCAAAGAGAGGGCATTTAACGGTAAAGGAAAAATGATATTTCGTTATCTTTACATATATATATATATATATATATATATATATATATATATATATATATATATATATATATAATAGACAAAACGGGAGAAACAAAAATCCTAGAGCATCGTAACTATTTATTTATTCTTTTATTTTTTATTTATTTATTTTTATTTATTTATTTTTATTATTTTTTTACCAATTCCACGTTTCATAATTGATAATGGTTGATGATAAGTCAGACAATTAGATCAAATGCATCACTTCAAACTCATAATATAGATTTTCATCCAGCCACATTTTCTTCTCTATAGGGTCTTCGAAAATAAGTGACTATCGCATTTTTTTCTAATTTGTATTCCATGGCACGGATCAAATCAATGTGATCTTGTATTTTAACGAAAGAAAATAACTAATGCTTACTGATTCACTTTTTCATCCTTTTTCTTATGTGTGTACGCATATTCTTTATCAGATCCGTACCTGACTCAAAAATTATGAAATAGTGAATCAGTAAGCATTAGACCATTTTCTTCCGTCAAAATACACACATTGACTTGATCCGTAGCATATATAATCAAGAAAAGAAATGCGACAGTCACTTGTTTTCAAAGACACTATAGGAAAATGAGGCTGAATGAAAAATACATTATTATTGAGTTTCGAATGACGTATTTGACCTAATATGGGAGATCGCCAACTTCGGGGCAACTTGGGCAGGATTGAACTCGCCTCCGGTTGCCCATTCCGAGCGATCTCCTTGCTTGTTGCCTTTGACGATGACGAAGCGAAAAGTGGGACGCAGAGAGTAACGTCAGCCGAAAATGCGTTAAATATTATTCATTTGTGCAGAGAGGATTTACCAAGTGTAATTTGCGCGGAAATGGTGGGACTCGACATCTCATTAGATATCGAGTGAAATAGGGATAACATCCGGGTATGACGTACGCAAAGTTGGTTTAAAGTGTAGGAAAGTTGAATTTCGATTAATTAATTAAACGATTAATGTATGGCTCTTATGACGGCCTTTGGGATGGTGACACTGTCAGCGTCATACGCTTTTAGGATGAATCTGGGAGTAGGATCGAGTCTGACAACATCAAATTATTCTTATCAAAGGCAATTAGTCCAGTGACTCTACTTGTTCATAAATTTTCGTAAATACATTTATCCTCTTAATGAAGTTTACACCCTCGTGACTTGTCATTATACGCTGTTGAAGGTGAAAGGAGAAATCAGATTGAAAACACAAACCAAATCTTCAGAAAAGTTTATTTGTCATGCTGGCAAACGGAAGTCGCTGCTGAATCAACCTGGTAATAGATCGAAAATAGTTTAGGTATTCTTTAATAATCGTTTTATTAGAGTGTGATTGTATGCAGACTAATAAAGGGATATTTGTTGACAGTAAATATTATAGACAAGGAACTGTCAATGAATTAATTTTAAAATATTTATATGAACAGTATATGAAAAGTACTTTCTTACCATGATGACCGTGATGCCCTCCATGATGGCCTCCGTGGTGACCTGTGGTGACCTCCGTGGTGACCCCGTGGTGACCTCCGTGGTGCCCCGTGGTGACCCCCGAAGCAGCAAGGCAAGGTCTTGGGCAGCGAAGGCAAAGGCGAGAGCCAGCAGGAGAAGCAAGGCGACAACCGCATCTGCAGCAGACGCGGAAGCAGTCAGGGCGGGGCGATGAGGCCGAGGGACGTGTGGCGAGCCGAGCGGCCGTTCGGACTCGGCCGTTCGGGAGGGGGGAGGGCGGCGCCGTTGGGCGAGTGTAGTGAACTGCGATTGCAATTATATCTCGCCTTAGAGTGTAAAAGTAGCGTGACTGCCACCACCCATTTAGTTGCCGTATGGGAACGGATGTTGTTTGTGGGAAGAGGGATAGTGTAGAAGGCGATGCAGGAAAGGAGCGATACTTTGTGTGGATGTGTGTGGTGCGTGTGTGAGGTGTATATGGTTGTGGCGAGAATATAAAGGTCGGTATGCGTGAATCTAAGCCGAGGAGAGGCGTGTGCGGGGAGAAATCTCCAACGCAATTAAATAAGTAATCAACTGTCATTAATTATGATTTCCACTGATACTCTTTTCCCATCACAGGTTTAGGGGAAACTCATCATGCGTAAAATTATTTATTAAAATGATAAAAGACTTTTAGACAATAAAACGACATTAAAACTGAACAATAAACGGCAATAAAACAACAATAAAACGGCAATAAAACTAACAATAAAACTGATAACGGCAACTGAAAAAACATAAAAACAAAAAAAACAATAAAAAACTGACAATAAACGACAAAACTGACGAACTGAACAATAAAACGACAATAAAACACTGAACAAACGATAAAACACTGAACAAGAGATAAAACACTGAACAAAGATAAAACTGAACAACACTGAACAAAAGATAAAACACTGAATAATAAAATCAACACATTGAACGGTAAAATAATTTAAAAGAAAGCACTGGTAAAATCACATAAAATAAATAAAACCATAAATGGACTGGCACCGAGATCATTAGGTCACTTCGCCGAACAAATAACTTAGCAAACTTCTCTCACCTCCTATAGTCAGGTCCCTCCACAACCACTTATCTTTAGGAAAAAGGGGAATGCCCGTTCCGGGGTTCCCTCACTAGCAGTCAGAGTCACGACCAACCCTCGAATCCCCTGAGTTTTGTCTGTTTGACCTCCCACGTCAGTTCCTACGCGGGAGTAAGCTAAAATCAGGGTTTTCCTCTGATACTAAATTAAAAATTCATGTTAAAATCCAATAAGACTATAAAAAGGAAATACTTCTGGAATAACATTTGATAAAAATATAATTAACTAATGAAATCGAAATAAAAACTTTACGTTAAAGAACCATCGTATCAGTTATGGCCATATGTAAAATCTGATGAATTAAAAGTAGAAAATAAAAGTAATTAAAAGCAACCCATTATGAGGATGAGAATCAAATAAGACTAAAAAAATCAAATGAATTGGGTTCTTTCATTATTAAAATTGAAATAAAATAATAAATATGTTTAAATAAAGCCTACTGAGGGTTAAAATCCATCTGAGTCGTGATGTAGGAGGTGAGAAAGGTGCCATGAAAAATCATACAAAAATAAGGTTTATTAAAATAATAATAAAAGGTGCTGGTGTGGCAACACGCGCGCGCGAGCATCCTCCTCGCTGGCAGGGATAAACAGTTCGTTCTTTAGGCTTCGGCGAAGGATGGACGGCCGAAGTCCGTGGCTTCTCAAAGAGGGGGATGCAAGGGAGATGATGCCAATTTTCAATGGTCTCCCCAATTGTTCCATGTGGGAATACAAGGCAAAATGTCGCCACCTCGCGGCAGTGGAGTGTTGCCACCCCGGGTTCACCTATTTTTCAGTACCACGCCTGTGGGAGAGGTTAAAAATGAGAGAAGATTTGGGGTTTTTGGTATTTTCCTGGAGTGAGACGACGTATTTAGCGACGTCGTCCACTACACGAGCACCGGGGTTCAGGCCTCATTGGGGCATATTGTTATGACAAATAATATATATATACACATATATATGTGTGTGTGTGTGTAGTAATATATATATATATATATATATATATATATATATATATATATATATATATATATATATATATATATATATATATATATATATATATATATATATATATATATATATATATATATATATATATATATATATATATATATATATATATATATATATATATATATATATATATATATATATATATATATATATATATATATATATATATATATATATATATATATATATATATATATATATATATATATAT